AAACTCTCTCTCTTTCCCTCTCCCTGTGCCCTCCCTCTGCTCATGCTCTCTAAATAAATTAAGTCTTAAACAAAAGCCCCTCATTGATGACCATTGGAGGCTCTGACCCATTATTTTGAAAACTAGTATATTCAGAAAGAATCAAGGTTTTATTCTGCCTTTCCTATGTGAACTCTACCCCAGGGTAGCAAAAGAGAGAAAAGGAGGAAGTTTCTCTTTTTAGAATAAATGAGGCTAATACATAAATAAAGAATGCCGGAAATAAAATGTCAGCCTTTTGCAATCTCTATTGAAATAATGGATATAAGGCAGTGATCATTCATGATTACAGAAGGAGTGAGAACAGGACATTCCCAACAGAAATCCACACCCCCACTGAGGAAATGTTCTTGCCTAAAAAAAAGCAGACAGAATCTGATCAAGACTCGAGACTTGGGGGAGAAGGGAGACAGATGACACCCCAGGGATGTGGGGACTGCACAGGACACCCCCAGCATTCTCAGCACATAACCTGCCAGAGAAAAAAGAGAAAGGGGAGGGGAAGCCAGTCTATAGACTGAGAGACATAAATGTGCAAAAGATGTGTGTGACCTTGGTCAATAACCTCAGTCTCCACTTCAGACAGTGAGGACACTGGATGCCCATGAAGAATAGTGGGGAGACGGAAATGCGAGGGGCAGGTCAGCTCCAGTGAGCAAACAGTAGCCCTCATAAATGACAGCTTATTAGTTCTCAGAGCACTCGTGTTGGGGGACGTGTTTCAAGGACCCCCAGCTTACTCTGAAATGTACCCATCTGTCTTTAGCCTTGACTTTGTCTGCTCTGATATGGAGGGGCTCCCCTGTTCCTGAGTTGTAGCAGGTAGGGCCAGCGGGAGGGGTGAGTGGCTTTGATGGAAATGCGGCCACCTGTGTCCCTTCTTCACACCGGGGGGCAACTTCTCGGACCCTCCAACATCACAGACAGAAGACAGCCTTTCTTCCCATGGGGAATGCCCTCCCACAGCCCGAACGTTCAAACAAGGGAAGCAGAATCCACCTGCACCCAACGCCGTGAACGGTCCTGGATTCTTTCTGAACGTGGCCAAATTCAACCCTGGGTTGGAGGGGCTGGAGGAGGCAGCTGACGTCCTCCCCCCAAGGCTGCTCAGGCCAAGCCAAGAGAAGGGAGGCCACCACGTGCTGACCCCACAATTGACCCGGATTCTAGGAACTACACGGTGGTGAACACGGAGAAGGGCCTTATGGAAGTACAGAGGATGAGCTGTGCGGGAATGAAGCTGAGCTGCCAGCTCAAGGTCCAGAACTCTCTGTGGACGGCCACCGAGGTAAGTGACCCCACGCAGGGCTCTCATCCAGCTGGGCAACACAGGGCGCAGTCCATGCCGTGTTTATTTTGAGGGGGGGGGGCGATTTAGCAAAGAGGATCACAGGATGCCCAGGTACGTGGGATTACCAGATAACCCCAGCCCGCACGTGTGAGACCCCCAGAGCAGTGCCAGCAGCCCTGGGAAGAAGCAGCAGCGCAGCGTGTCCCCAAAGGTAACGACCGGCCTTGTCCCTGCGCGAGACCTGGACTCAGTCGAGAGAAGTCTCAGGGGCGGGATCCCCGCGAAAGGAGAACTCCATTAGGCTGGTGAAGTCACCGGGTTTCTTATAGCACTGCAGGGTCTCCCCAGCCAATCCTCCACTCAGCCCTGAAGGCATTTTGCCTTCACATCAAGGAAGTCAGCCGAAGGCCCTGGGAGCTGTCTTCTGAGAAATCCAGAGGGACAGGCCCCAGTGAATGCTCTGACGCTCTAGAGCTGTGTGGGGCGTGGCGAGGGGGCGGGGCATTGGTGCCTCCCGCCCCGCCTCTCAGAGGACAGACACATGTGTCTGCCAGAAGGCTCATCCCAGTGTAAGTCCCGGTAGTGAAAACTTGGGAACAGACCGAGCTCTGACAGCAGGTTAGGCTGTGCCGCCCCCCCCCCGCCCCCCGCCCCCCGGCGATGGGCAGTACGCTCACACACGCTTCCCTCCACCTGCCATGAGTTGTAACGGGAAAGGTGAGGGAACAGCACAGTCAGGCAGTCCCACTTGGGCCGGGAATGCGGAGACACACACACAGACACTCAGGGGAAACGAAGTCTGGGCCCCAAGTCCCCGTGGTGGTTTTCTCCAGGTAACAGGGTAGGGGCGATTCTATATTTCTTCTTTAAACTCGTGTCATTTTCAAGATCCCTGCAAAGCACAGGAAGATGCAACCAGCCAACCAGAAAGGCCTGGTCAAGGTTGCTTCCTAAGGCACAAAGGGATTCCCAAGGCAGAAGGGACCCTGAGAGAAAATGGCAGGCATGTTCCCACTGGGGTCTTACATTGGCTTGTCTACCTCTATAGGACCAGAAGATCTACATCTATAGCCTCAAGGGCATGTGCCCCTTAAACACACCCCAACGGGCTTTGGACACCCCGGCGGTCGTCACCTGCTTGTTGGCAGTGCCTGTTATTAAAAAGGTGAGGTCGGGCGGGGGGGAGGTGGATGCCCTTCTGTTGGGGTGTCCCCCCTAGGCTTGGGGGTGGGGGTATGAGAAGCGGGAGCAAAGCCAGTTCCTCTTGGTCCACCGAGCCCGGGGTCAGGTCCCAGTCAGCCTCAGAGAGACAGACCATCATGAGTGCCTTTTCAGGACCCCATGGCACTCGCAGAGCAGAACTCAGGGCTGAGGGGAAAGCTTGCATTCCACCTGCAAATACCACAGTCCCAGATTCAGGTGAAGCGCTTTTGGGGTACAGATGGTATAAATAGCCATTGCACGTGTGCCCTTCCCCTTCGGGTAGCAGTGGACATGTGCAGGCAGCCCTGCCCACACCCCTGGGGAGCAGCCAGCTCCACGTGCCTCTGGAGTTCCCACAGTCAGCCCTACACCTTGGGTCCCTCTTTGTCTTTGATCTTCTAGCCCCCACCTCTCTGAAATGGAGCCCCAGGTGGTCAATCCCCACAGCCTGGGTCTCCGGCACCTCTGCAGGGTGGACAAGCCTCCCCGCCCATCCAGCACCGCACTCTGGGGTGACCCTTCTTGCTAGGAATGCACCTCTGCCACACCACCTTTTATTCAGTTCTCAAGGTCAGGGACCACCGAGCCTGCTCTGAGAAGCTGCCCCAGCCCTTCAGTGGTGCCATCTGGCTTCTCGGGCCTCCGACCCCAGGCACTGCTCTTCTGCCTTCGCCCCCTACCCTGCCGCCCCATCCCCTGCTGGTCCTCCCTGCTCCTCGTCAACGCTCAGGGTGTCATTATTAGTGGTGTTTGGTTAAAACATGTTGGCTGTCATCATCCAATTTCAGTTTTCCCATCTGGAAAACAAGGATAAGAAGAGGTTGAAAAGGGTTCTCCGAGCATAACATCCTCCAAGCTCTGGACCTGTGCACTTGGATAAATGTGAGAGCATTATTATGACTTCTTAACAGTCGTGAAATAGATATGCTCTTTGCCCAACTACAGTCTATTTCTTTAAAAAAAATTTTTTTAAAAGTCTGAAATGAACCCTAGAATCATTTACGACCATGCCCCATGGGCGAGGCTGGGCAGCTCGGGACCCCGTCTGCCCAGAGCCCAGGAGGACATGACACAAAGCGTTATTTAAGGCCACTGCTGGCCAGAGCCCCCGAACCAGGGCACCACCACCCGCACAACCAAGGGGAATAAAGCGGGCTCTGTGCGGAGCCTCCCTGTCAGCATGCCTGTGCCTCGGAGGCTGTGCTGCCCGTGGCCACGACGGCAGGCCCCTGCATTCTTGCACGCGCACATTCACACCCAGCCGGACCGTGGGGCTCACCGCCCTGACTGGGGCCCAGAGCTGGGATTCAGATAGAGACACTGCTCCTATTTGCTTTGGCTGCCTTCTTCCCGAAATTTCTGAGGATGGATTTTGATAAATGTTCTTAGGGCTCATTGACCTTGCTGTTGTGCTTTCGTTACCTTGGACAGCCTGGCCTCCCCAGTTCCCAGGTAGCTCCAGGTCCCAGAAAGGGGACTTTCTGTTGCCCACCCGTGCTGGCACGAAGCCTGGGTCCCTGCTCTGTGGTGGCTTTGGCTTTGTTCTCCTGAACTCCTCCCTCCCACCTCAGCCCTTGCCAGGCATCTGGGCTCAGCAGCTGCCCTCTGTTCCCAGCTCTGCAGAGATGCTCCAGGGAGGCCTGGGGTGGGCCCAGCGTCCAGCACTGTCCCTGCACCTTTGGCTATAGAAGATGGCACGCTTCACTGTGGGGGCAGAGGGCAACCCCAGGACCCTAGCACGGCCATCTAGGCGTTTCAGAATAGGTGTGGGAAGTGGGGGGTGTAGGCATAGGGTCCGAGAAGTGCCTCCATGAGAAGGTTGAGCTGGAAGCGATTTCTTCAAGGGTAGGCTCAGCTGCACACATCATCTGCTGGGGCAGAACGCCAGGTGGATTCACAGAGATGGTCGAGACTCAGTCCTTCCACGTGGCAGGCCCATACCGAGGAGGCAGTGGCGGGCACGCCGAGCCTGCTGTCATGGAGCCCCCATCTGGTGGGGCAGATGGCAGGAGGTCGCAAGTACACCCACATGCTGCCCATGACTGCTGTCACATCGTTAACAAGCAGAGCTCATGGGAAGGAGGGAACCATGTCCTGCCTCTGAAGGAGGCCCGTGTGACCCGAGGCAGAAGGCAGTCCCCTCCCGCTCACACTGCCGGAAGCCAGCCTGCAGGCAGGCCCCTTGATTCAGGACACACCCGCCCTTCCCCCATGTGCCAGGGACCACGCTCTTCCCCTGCACGCTCCTCTCCTGCTCCTGGCAGGGAGGGTGGGTGTGGCTCTTCTGGGCCTGAGTTGCACCTGCTCTGGGAGCATGCCCGTAAGCTCCTGCTGGCGGCTCTCTGCCTTTCTGGGAACATCACTCCTCTGAGGGTGCTGGGGTCAGTGCAAAGAGGAGTTTTGTGCCCACTCCGCTTCTCTCCCGGCCTGCGGGAGGCTCACGGGCAGTCCTGTCTTCTCCTCGCAGAATTCCTACCTGGTGCTGGCAGGCCTGGATGACGGGCTTGTGGCAGTGTTTCCTGTGGTGCGGGGTGCCCCGGACAACAGCTGCTCCTACCTGTGCTCACACACGGCCAACAGGTCCAAGTTCAGCATCCCAGATGAAGACACGCGGCAGAACCCCTACCCCGTGAAGGCCATGGAGGTGGTCAACAGCGGTTCCGAGGTCTGGTACAGCAACGGGCCAGGCCTACTGGTCATTGACTGTGCGGCCCTGGAGATCAGCAGGAGGCTGGAGCCCTACTTGGCCCCTTCGGTGGTCACCTCGGTCGTGTGCAGCTCCGAGTGCCGTGGGGAGGAGGTCGTCTGGTGCCTGGATGACAGGGCCAACTCGCTGGTGATGTACCATGCGGCCACCTACCAGCTGTGTGCCTGGTACTTCTGTGGGGACCCCAGCCCGCTCAGAGACATGTTTCCAGTGCGCCCTCTGGGTCCGGAGTCCCCGGGCAGCCACGCAGCCGGCTCCAAAGAGCCCGAGGGGGACTCCATCGCGGACGTGAGCATCATGTACAGCGAGGAGCTAGGCACACAGATCCTGACGCACCAGGACTCACTGACTGACTACTGCTCCATGTCCTCCTACTCCTCATCCTCTCCCCACCGGGCCCCCGCATCCTCCTCCAGCCTGCCCTGCTCTCCGGCCAGCTCTTCCAGCGTGCCTTTCTCCACCGACTGTGAGGACTCCGACCGGCTGCATGAGCCCGCCGCGGGCTCCGACAGGTCTGAGCACGACCTGACGCCCGTGGACGGGGACGCCTTCAGCCAGCACCTGCAGGCCGTGAGGATCCTAGCCGTGAAAGACGTCATCTGGGTCCCCAGGTACGTTTCCCCGCGAGTGGGGCAACTCTCCCGTACTGCCCACGGGAGCTTGCCGAGGCCACCATGCTCCCTGTGTTCTGGAGCCTGGAGGGATCTCTTTAGGAAACCTGAGAAGGGCCCCCACAAGTGCTCATCTGCCCCCCGAGGACCGCCAGGCAGAGCCCTGGTCTGCAGCGATTCGGTTTCCCGCTGGGAAAGGCCTCCTGGGCCCGGCCGCGGCGCCCTCGCGGTAACCCAATCCGTTCTCAGAGACGGCGCATTTGTTGCCTCGCCTCTGTGCGCGCTGGCTCAGTTTCCCCCCGAGAGCACGGCCCTGGACAAAACGCTTCCCCTTCTGGGGTTTGGTTTCGCAGGCGCGGCGGCGATGTCATTGTCATAGGCCTGGAGAAGGACGCCGGGGGCCAGCGGGGCCGCGTCCTCGCCGTCTTAAAAGCCCGGGAGCTGACTCCGCACGGGTAAGCCTGAAGGTGCCTCCTTTAGGCCCCCCAGCTGTGGTGCGGGGAATCAGGACCCCTCTGCCAGCACCCCCTACACACGCAGCGGCTTCTCACCCTTCTGTCCTCTACCAATAAATACCACGGTGGCCAGAAGGCAGAGAAGGAACAAGATGAGGTCCTCCATGCAGCTCCTCGGAGCCTGATCAGCAAATACTAGCTGAACCGGGCATCACGGGTCATGGGTCCACAGATCATGGCTGGCTGTTTCTGGGGTTCCCAGTGCACCTGCGGACTGAGGGTCCTGCCTGGGGTCCATAGGTCCAGGGATGGAGTTCAGCTGCCATTGAAACGAGGAGCTGACTGATTCACTGTTCTTCCCACCAAGTAGGAGGGCTCTTTCCGGGGTCTCCACCTGCCCAGACAGCCCCTAGGGGAGGCACAGACCTGGCACACACAACCTCTCCCTGTGCCCAAGCCCAGGCTCTGCCTTGGCTCCATACCCATCTGTCAGGGGGCCCTACCAGGAGGCAGACCAGACTCCACTGTGAGGGCTGTTCTGGGGCAAGACAGCCTATCCGGATGCAGTGTGCATGGCTATGGGCGTGGGAGGCTGGCACTGGCCAGTATCCCCAGAGTCCCCTGCCAGCCGGCAGTATGCACACCTCACTTTGTCTACTGAGCCCCATCCCGCGAACCTCCTTGATGGAGAAATGTCATGTGGCCTGTTTGCCCCAGAGCAGGGTAATGGTGAAAGAGGAAACATCTGTGGCAGGTCCCTTTCCTTGCCTGAAAGCACAGGGCATCCTCAAGGACCCACCAGATCCACTGACGCCTGGTCTGCCAATGATTCCAGAAACAAGATCTAGGATGTGTTCTGTGTGTGTGTGTGTGTGTGTGTGTGCGCGCGCGCGCGCGCACGCTGAGCCGCAGCTGAGTTTGTGGGTGAAGTAGTGACGACATCACAGGTCGGGGGGTCGGGGGGCTTCTGGGGAAGCAGGCATGTCTGTAGAGCCCAGGCCTGTGGACCTCACCTTGCCCATCATTATGTCCCGAAGTTTTTCACTGCTGGTGTTCTCCTGTGCAGCCCCCAAAGGCAGGTTTACTCTCTGTAGGGAGAAAGCAGCCCAGGCAGCCAGCTGACACTGAGGGGCATAGCCCGATCCCACCAGCCTTTTGCCATGCATCTGAGACATCGATTCTCTTAGCAGATAACTAGTGAATTCCTGTAGCGTGCACGGCCCTGAGGTGGCCAGAGGTCCTGCATGTCATACCGGTTTGCACACTGGCCACAGGGTAAGGCGGTGAGCGCTGGGACATGGGCTGCCCGCTCCGGCTGAGGCCCAGCAGGAAACCTGTGGTGTGTGCACAGATCGGCAAAACAATCCACAGCCTCCGAAAACAAATGTGTATAGTTAGGGCATGTTGGCACGGGTTTCTGTCGGTTACACCGCCCTGGATTTCCTAAGCACCGAGAACTTAGCGTGGGAGGAAGAGCTGGGCCTGAGCTGACAGCAAGGAGAACCGAGTCAGTGCTTCAAATCCGTTAGTGTCCGCTGACAAGCAGCAGTCGGAGGTGATGGTGCTTTCTGGACACTTGCGGGTCTCAGTCCAGTGACAGAGGCTCTCTGGGGAGTGAGTCCCTTGCAGACGGTCCCCATGCACACGAAGGGATGCCCTAGGCTCTTCTTTAGTTAGGAAGCCTCCGCCCATGGGCCAGACCCCCGGGGGAAGCAGGTGCAACAGAGCACAGCCTGCCACCGGGCTAGGATGTGCAGATGCCCCTCCTCAGCCAGGCTTCCAAGAAGTTGCACACTGAGGGTCCTGGCCCCAACCAAGTGGGGACCCCTGTAGATTTTCTCAGACCCTTCCTTTCTCTGTAGGGTGCTTGTGGATGCAGCTGTGGTGGCAAAGGACACAGTCGTGTGTGGCTTCGAGAACGAAAACACGGAGTGGTGCCTCGCTGTCTGGAGGGGCTGGGGCACCAGGGAGTTTGACATTTTCTACCAGTCCTATGAGGAGCTGGGCAGGCTGGAGGCTTGCACGCGGAAGAGGAGGTGATTCCTATGGAATGACAGTCATGGAGACCTGGCTGCCCTGGGCCACCCCTCCACCTGCCGCCTGCTGCCCCCTGAGGACCCAGAAGACCCTGAAACATTTGCTGCTAGAAGTGCTGAGGAGTCACCACCTTGGCCGTGGTCTGGGGGGCTCCCCGGTTCTCCAGGGCAGAGCTAGCTGCCTACCTCCATTCTCCCATTACGGGTTTTACAACCCAAGAGAAGACGGTGGGGCCTGGTTGGGAGCCACTGCCCCTGCTTCCTCCCTGGAAGTCCAGGAGCGGGGGAGGGGGGCCAGGCTCCGGCCTGGGTCACACAAAGCAGGGCTGGGTCTTCCCAGTCCCTCCCCAGGTCTCAGATGGAATTACACTAGATGCTCTCAGCTGGGGAGCAGTTTGGGGCAGGGGCGGGAGGGTGCCGTGACCTCTGCCCCTTCCCCCAGTGGTCTCCAGGCTCTCAGCCCATTTCACAAGTCCCTGGGGCCCTGGGGCCCCACTTGGGCAAGCTGAGATCAGATGTCTCCTGCTCAGGAAAGTCTCTGTGTGAGAAGCCCTCAGAAGGACGTCGGGGAGGAGCACTGCCCAATCTGGGGGATGAATGAGTTCATTTAAGTGACACAGCCAGAAAGCCAAGAGCTCGAGCAGGGCCCAGAGCACCCACTCGGCCCCTACATTCTTCTCCTGCCGACAAAAGGCCGGGGAAACTCAATCAGTGGGACTTAAGAAAGGGCCGTGTGTTTATAGCTTCATAAAGTAAACTCGGACGCAGCTGGAGCACAAGCCCTGTTTGTTTGCACGTAATAGTCTTGTTTATCACTTTAACAAATTAAGTAATAGCTCGGTGGTTAGGCTCCGGTTGTAAAATCACTTCGTTCGGAGCTTCCACCAAATTAGGCGTTGGCTCAGCATTGACGGCAGTCATGGACAGCGAAGTCCAAGGAGCAAAATGGTTAATGGGGGATTTATGGGTCTGAGAGCCACCGTTTGTATAAATTAATGCACACACATGTGCCCACGGATCATGTGGCTCCCGAAAGTAATCATCGGAGGCCACTGGACCCGGAACGGTGGTGTGAACGTGAGCTCATCCTCTGGTTCAAGTTGTAGACCTTTTTCTAAAATTAAGTTATGCAGATCAGACTTAAGATTGGCTGGGATATGTGGGCAAAGGTGGTTCCTTTTATTTGAAAATAAACCAGTTCTCTTGAGAATGATGTCAGCCTCTGTAGAATGTGTTGGAAGGACCCAGGCCCACTTGCTGCCAGGGTGGAATGGGCAGCACCCCCCTACTGGCGCACAGCTGTCCCCATCCAAGCAGCCCCATGGCAGCCCCCCACACCCCCAGTGCACAGCTGTCCCCATGCAATCAGCCCCATCGCAGCTTCCGTGAGCAGAGACAGCCGCTGCATCAGCCTCAGCCCACCCACTTCCTTTCGCTGCTGGCCTGGGCATCGAGTCCAATGGGGACTGCAGGCCTATGCCTCCCACATCCTGCTGTGGTCCCTCAGCTCGGCCTTGGTGCTCATCACTCTCCTTCCTTGCCATCCCGGTACCCCACAGCTGCCCACTGCTCCCCACATGCAAACCGGGTCCCATCCTTCCCCCACCCCCATTCCATGCTCTACCACCTACAGCCAGACTGCTAGGCCAATGCTCAGGGCCCCCACCATCCAGTCCTAACCCACTTTCTGACCTGGCCTCCTCCCAGCCTGAGGCCCAAAGCTGCCGCGAGGACAGGCCGGGTGTTTAGGCCATGGCCTCCCGGAGCCAGCTTAGGGCACCTCTGCACAAAAGTCAGAAACCTGTGCAGAAATGGTTTCACTACATAAAAATTAGAAACAGAAAAACTACCACAGAGTCAAAAGACAGTCAACTGGAGAAAAAAATGTTGGTGACAAATGAGAGCCAAATAGCTAATTTATCTTATATGCAAAGAGTTGGTACTATCGACAAGAAAGAGAAAACACAAAAGGAAAACAGGAAGAGGACATAAATAGCACTCACCCTCCCCCAACAGTTGGGAAGTAGTCATGAGGACAACAACAAAATGTCCTTTACCCCTCATGTTGGCATTCCTGTGGGGATCCAAGGATGCCATGTTGAAAGGTCCACCCGTGCAAAGGCCCTGTGGTGGGAATGAGCTGCTGTGCCAGAAGGACAGATGAAGAGCTGGTGGGGCTGGAGTATTTGTAAGAAGGGGGAGCTCAGAGGCCTGCTAGGCATGGCTTTGTAGGCATAGCTATCCATCAAAGCTGCTGGTAGTTTTAAGCAGGGATGTTTGGTGACCTAATTGTCTTTAACTCTTTGCTGAGTGGCAAGTGGGCTAAAGGGGAGCTAATTGACAGTCAGGCCACCCCTTAGAGGGCATTTTGGCCATACCCATCAAAATTTCAAATGCACATACCCTTTGGCGTAACAGTCCCACTTCAACATTTGATCCTAAACCTTCCGTGAAAGGGCCCGATGCTACAGAACAAGAGTGTCATGGTGCATCACCTGTAGTGGCCCCAAACAGGAGACGACCTAAACCTCTAGCAGGAGGAAAGGAAAAAATGTCTGACCGGCCAACCCTGCCGTCCTCTGCAGCTGGTCAGAGAACGGAACGGGGCGGTGCCAGAGGTCCTGCTCTGCCATGTTCTCCGGGGTGTCATAAATGCATTGTTTTCCTAAAAAGCGACTCACAGTGTGGTGTGTATATAGTTACTCTTTGAGTGAAAAAAGTAAAGCTCCATGGGCATGCGCAGGGGAAATATCCCGAAAGGTGCCCAGGAGTCTGGCAGACATTGGCTGCCCCTGGGGAGGAGAGTCGAGGCTGGCATAGAGCAGGAGGTCTCCAGGTTTTGTTTTATACTTCCTCACTGCACTGTTTAAATCATAGATAAGCCTTTCCGTGACGGTAAGCCAGGCTGGGAGGGACTTCTCCCCAGGGCCCCAGGAAGGACACTCCTCGACCTTGGTGTCCAGAGGTCACAGGAAGTTCCCAAGGAGAATATCAGGTCCCAGGGACGGGGCCAGTAATCTATCACATCCACCTGACCCCATGGCTTGGCTCAAACAGAAACCACGCCCCCTCGCCCGGCTGTCCTTGGCTGAGAGTCCCAGGCTGAGGAGGACAGGTGGGAGGGACTGGGAACAGTTGACAAAGGCCAATGGACTCTGTCCCCAGTCTGCCCTTGCCCTGGTGTTGTGGACACGTGCAGCCCAGCTGCAGGGTCAACACCCACCACACCCACCAGATGAGCACCCAGCCTCCTCCCAACTCCCGCCACCGCCCTGCACCAGGGAACACAGCAGCCTTTCTGATGACCAGTCGTCAGCTGGTCACCACTTGCCAGGGCCACTGGTCACTCGGAGTCTCTGCAATGGCCCTACCTGGGGGGGCCCTAGATCCCACCTCCCTGCACAGCCCCTCAGACTGTCTGCACCTCTTGCAGACAGTATCTGCTGACCCCCCAGAGGAGGCATGGGGATGCAGAACCCCCCCACCAAGGGTACAGAAAGACATCATGGTGAACCCCCTCCTCTAGATGCCAGCAGACCGATGCCCCAGAAGAAGCCACAGTGTCTGACATGTCAGGGCCCCGGGGCCTCAAAACCTCTGCCTCCCTGAGCATCCAGTGGTATTTCCCATCCTGGGCTGAATGGAGCAGCCTTGAAGGAAATAGGGGCAGGAAGGTGGGGGTGGTTAGTTAAAATAGCACTTGGAGAGCCACTGGCAGAAACTGCTCAGTAATAGACCCTGCTTTTGTTGGCACATCGTTTCTCAGCCTCCCACCCCAGGGAGGGGTGAGGCTGGGATGGAGCTCAGCTGGGGATGGTGCGGAGATGGCTGAGGAGGACTTCAGGGAAGCACTATCGGATGGCTGACTCAGTGGGAGCCCTTCAACCCCATCCTTCCCCCGCAACCCGGTCCTCAACAGAGCTTGAGGGCAGGGCCCTCTAGGGATACCAGGAAGACCTGGGGACAGCGATGGGGAGACAGCCCACCACTCCAGCCCGGGATGCCGACCTCCAGCCTCCTCATTACCTCATGGACCAGGAAATCACTTCCTGGTTTAAACCAGTATTTTCCAACTCTCCACTACCAGCGGCCCAGTGCAATTCCTAAAATTGAAGGTACATTTTCCACTAGCACAACCCAAGCCCCGAGGCAAACAAGGGATGCTCTCAGGCTGGTCTTCACAAGTCTCTGTTTAAGCTCAAGCAGAGGGACCTGAGCAATGATGAACTGGAACATTCCGTGGCCAGAACTGCCCCAAGAGCTTACTTCTGCATCGTGAGAGCTGGACCTGGACTATAGTTCTTTTCCTTGGAACAACCACAATCACAAAGAGGTTCAGGGTTGCACCCTAGTCACCCAAAGGCCAGCTTTGATGTCCTGCAAATCTAAACCCTCGACTCTGAGCACGCTACCCCACTTCTGTGGCCCTGGTTTCTTCTTTATGAAATGGCATGAAAATTCTCACCCTGTTGGGATCAGGAGAGGCAGTGTACATGACAGCCCCAACCCAGCCCCCTACCCAGGACCAGGACGCCCTCCCCTGCCTCCCGGTTGTGACCACCCTCTCTCCTGTCATTACAACCTAGGAAGGCTCAGAAATGCTTGGAAGAACTATGGCTATGAGTAAGAAGGGGGCTCATCTGGAACAAGGAAGGTGTGAAGCTAAGGCAGTAGTTGTTGAGTCTGTTTTATAGTAGTACTCAGTTTTATAATAGATGTAGCATTTTATGTATGTTTTATCTGATTCTTGGGGTCTTTAAAGCATTGAAGGTCAATACCCCCTTTTCAACAATGGACAGATCACCCAGACAGAAAGTCATTACAGAAACACTGGACTTGAACTACACTTTGGACTAAATGGACCTAACAGACATACACAGAATATTTCATCCACCACCATCAGAATACACATTCTTCTCAAGTCCATACAGAACATTGTCCAGGATAGATCATATGTTAGGACACAAAATAAATTATAAGAAATGTAAGAAGATTGAAGTCACATCAGTATCTTTTCTTACCACAATAGTAAGAAACTAACGTTAAAATCAGGAAGAAAACTGGAAAAACCACAAATATGTGGAAATTAAGCAAAACACACTTGAACAACCATTGCATCAAAAAAGAAATTGAAAGAGAAATCAAAGAATATCTTGAAACAAGCAAAAATGGAAATACTACATGACAAAAGTTACACAGCAAAAGCTTTCTAAGGGGGGAGTTTACAGAGATAATGTCAACAATAAGAAGGGAAAAAAAGATTTTAAATAAACAATGTAATTTTACACCTCAAAGAACTGGAAAAAGAATAAACTAAAAAATAAAGTTTACATAAAGGAGGAAATAACAAAGATCAGAGCAGAAATAAATGAAACAGAGACTAGAAAAATAATAGAAAACCTCAATGAAAGTGAACTTGCTTTTTGAAAAAATAAAATTGGCAAGCATTTAGCTAGACTAGGAAAAAAATACTCAAATATATAAAATTAGAAACAAAAGGGTAGTTACAGATTACAACTGATACCACAGAAATAGAAAGGGTCTTGAGAACCTACAAGGAACAATTATATCCTAACAAATAGGATAACCTTGAAAAAATGGATAAATCCCTAGAAGCATACAAGCTACCAAGATGAATCATGAAGAAATAGAAAATCTGAACAGATCAATAATGGGTAGAGATTGAATCAGTAGTCAAAAATCTCCCAACAAAGAAAAGTCATTCACTAGTGAATTCTACCAAACATTTAAAGAAGAATTAATACCAATCCTCAAATTCTTCCAAAACATTCAGGAGAAGAGAGCACTTCCAAACTCATTTTTTGAGGCCAGCAACGATCCTTATACCAAAGCCAGACAAGTACACTACAAGAAAATAACATTACAGGTCAATATCTCTGGTGGACACAACTGCAAAAATCCCCAACAAAACATAACAACCCTAATTTAGAAACACATTAAAGGGATGGTACACCACGATCTAGTGGAATTTATTACTGGAATGCAAGGATGTTTCAACATATGCAATGTCAATAGATTACATTTAACAGAATAAAGGACAAGTATCATATGATCATCTCAATAGAAGCATTTGACAAAGTTGAGCATTCTTTCACAATATAAAGATATTCTCAACAAATAAGACATATAAGGAATATACCTTAACATAATAAAGATCATGTATGATAAGCCCACAGTTAATATCAT